ATTAGCAGGTAGAAGTGGAGGTAGAGGAAGATGGAAGCTCCTGTAGTGGGGCCAGGCACAAGCTTGTGCAGGTGGCTGATATAATGTGGAGAGACAGGCTTACATCTCCTCACCAGGTCCTGCCTCTTCCCCCGAAGGGCTTGCAGCAGGAAAGGCTGTGGGAGGAGAGCCCTTCGTGGTGGAGGACCCTGGCATCTCTGGGAAGGAGCCTGGAGGCGGTGACGGCCTGATCTCATCTCCCAAGGAGCCTGTGAGTTGTGTTGTGTGTGTCACAGGCAGGAGACGGTGACTCCAGCCCATTGTCACTCGGTTGAACGCTCAGCACACGAGTGCTTCTCATAAGGATGCTGGGGTTGCCCCGGGGAGTCTTCAGGCTAACTGAGCTTCAGGGAGAGACAGCTGCTTTTTGGGAATGGAGGCTGGAGGCAGAGGTGCTCAGGAGAGGTCAGAGACAGCGAAATGCTTCTTGAACAAGTGCACAGATGGGAGAAGATTTGGACCCACAATTAGGGAAGACTTGCGTGGGTGAAGGTGCTGCAGCTCCAGCACACAGCAGGGACCCAGCTCATCATCTGGCCTGAAGGACACCCCAAGGCTGGGCAGGACATCCCCACAGCCCAAGCTTCCAAAGACAGCAGTGCTCACAAAGATGGAGCCACTTCATGCTTTGGGGCTGCTGGTGCACCAAAAGCTGCCTGTGAAGAGCATGTGAACTTTCCCAACCCAAAACTCCAGATCTCTCCAGTGCTGGAACACTAAAGATTGGGAACCCAAATGCTACCAGATTTTTAGAGCATGACTGTGAATTTAACTTGCCCTCAGGATGTGAGGCACATGGTTTGGTGACCCCACACACGGAGACATGCAACTGGTGATGAAGAACCCTCTGGGCAGCAGAGCCACGCTGAGCTATGGGATGTGGGTCACAGCCCCTGGGCCTTGCTCACAAAGACATGGTGGGTGGGCAGACGTGGAAGGACTGGCAACTTGGGGCAGATGGGAAACCCCAGGCCTTTCTGAAGACATTATGTGGCTCTGTGAAGAGGAGGGATTTTGGTGCAATAAGGGAGCCCGAGTCAAAGGAAAGCACATCTGGAGGTGGGAGTAGCTTCAAAGCTCCTGATGTCAGAACTCCCCAAAGGTGGAGGCAGAGCAGTTCAGCACTCAGAGAGTGAGGTTCAGGAGATTCAGAGCTCCCAGGCCCCACTTATCTCCTCTTGCAGCTGCTTTGCCATGGCCAATTGCCCTCGTCCAGCCTCCGTGAACGCTTAAAAGCTCAAATCACACAACCCCAGGCTACGAAAACAAAAAGGGACCCAATAGCTCCTAATAGCTGGGCAGGCCTGGGGCACGCAGGGAAAGTGGTTTGCATTGATCAGTGGCTCCCACTGCCACCCATGCCCTCCCCACTGCCACCCATCCCCCCACACCCTGCCTGGCTGGCTGCTGGTGCTGGGGAAAGAGGGATAAATCCCCATGGGAGGCACCAGAGCTGGAGAGCTGGGGTAGTGGCAGCAAAAGGATGGTTTGTGGGGTTGGTGTGAGATGCCACAGAAAAGCCACCACCTCCTACTCCCCTCTGCACTGTCCTGGCCAGCAGGGTCACTGGGATGGAAGCTCTGGTGGTGGCTGCAGATGATGCCATACTGGGACCACACATACTGGGGTGATGCTGGCTCCAGGAGCATGAGAGACCTGGGCAGCCCTGCAGGTGGATGGGTGGGTGTGTAGGGGAGAGTTGTCCCTGCAGGTGGGGGGGAAGAGTTGTCCCTGCAGTTGGTGCTGGGCATGCAGGGGACTGCAAAGGAATTCCCAGCTCTGCAGGGGAGGACCAGCTCATGAGAGACCATGGGAGCCCTCAACTGCAGCCTAAGGTGTGAGGCAGAAGGTTCAGCCCAGCATCACTGAGTGGAGGAGAATATTAGTGCCTTTCCCAAGCACCCTCCTCCGTGCCATGTCCTGTGGCCATGTGGGAAAGCCCCCATTAGAGATAGGGGCTTCATTCCAGCCGGAAAACTCTTGGGGGTCTGCCAGAGAAGACATCAGGGCAGGTCCACAGGGGCAGAGCTTCTCTGATGGCCAGACAGTCTGTGGAAGTCTTTGAACCAGACTGCACTTCAGCAGAGCCTTCTTGTCTCTCCCTCCCCTGAGTGGTGGGCACAGGTATGTCTGTGTAGGGGTGGAGATGGCTGTGCTGCTGGGTTGTATCGATAGAGGAAACCCACCAGCCTGAGCCCCTGGCTGCTGGAGAGCAGGAGGAGGCTCAGGGAAGAGGAAGAGGTCTGGAAGGGTTTGTCCAGCTTCAGCCTGGAAAGGAGATAGTGAAACAGGGATGTGATGGTGAAGCACATGGCTGGAGGGTGGGCAGGGACCGTGGGCACTGCCTCCTTCAGCCAAAGAGCTGGGGAACTTGTGGAGACCTGCAGGCTTGGGAAGCTGAAGGAAGCTCTGCATGGTGTGCTGGGAACTCCCAGGATGAACTTTTCCACAGCTTCAAGAGAAGCTGATGCAGAATCCGGGGGGTCACAGCCCCATGCTGCCCATGGCGGCACCAGGAACTGCAGGGACACACTGGGATGGCCGAGGGGTGAGGGAAAGGGGAGCAGCACCAGAGATGCTGCCCTACGTCCTGGGCACCTGCCTCTGGCTGTGGTGAGAGCCAGGAGCTGGCTGGAGGTTGGATGTGGAGCCCCTCGGCTGCCCTGGTGGCTGCCAGTGCTGCTCTGCATCCCCGTGCCCGCAGCTCTGCCTGGGACCAGGATTTTTACCCTACTGGAACACCCGAGAGTTCCAGCCTCTTTCCCGGCCATTTCTCCCTCCATCCTTCCCTTTGTCTCTCCCTCTCTTTCCTCTCCCCTCGCCGCTCAGCTCCCTCCATCTGACCATGTCCCCCCCTTCCCCTCGGGGGTCCCGGGGATGCAGCAATTCCCAGGCACAGGTGCAGGGTCCCGGCCCCCGCAGCTGGGTGCCCACTGGAAATAATGGGTTGTGGCAGAGAGAGACTCAGCAGACCACGAAGATCTGCTGGTGCGGGAACTGCTCAGCAACCAGGAGCCCCAGCGCTTGGCTCCCGGCTCCGCGGGCTCTGATCCGGCCCTGGAGATGCCTCCACTTGGCTGGAGCCTTCACTGCTTTTCCCTCTTCTCCATCCCCCCCGTCGCTGTTGGTCTCCGCAGGGTTCAGGAGGGGAGAGCAGCCACGGGATGGTTCCCTGCTGTCCCCTGTGCCACCGGGCACGGAAGGGGAAGGAGCTGTGCAGGAGGAGGATCAGGCGTGCAGGAATGGAACAACCAGTTCCAGTCTCCCAGCAAAGATTTAATCTGCCTCTGGCGTAGGAACAGCAAATGTTTGTTCAACTGACCTGCAAACAGGAGGTGTGCGTGGCAGTGGGACCTGCTCCCTGCTCAGCTCCTCTTTGTGTCTTCACAGAATCCTAGACTGGTTGGAATTGGGAGGGACCTTAAAGATCATCTAGATCCAGCTCCACTGTCATGGGCAGGGACACCTCCCACCAGCCCAGGTTGCTCCAAGCCCCATCCAACCTGCCCTTAAACACTGCCAGGGATGGGGCAGCCACAGCTTCCCTGGGCAACCTGGGCCAGGCTCTCACCACCCTCAGAGTGAAGAATTTCTTCCATCACAGGGGTGTGGAACTGGATGAGCTTGAAGGTCCCTTCCAGCCCAAAACAGTCCGGGATGCTGTGATTCAGTCCAGCTCTGTATCAGCTTTGGTGCATCAGCTTTGGACCATCTTGGTCAGCTCTGGCTCTGCAGCACCCCAGGAGGTGACAAAGTCTGGGGCTGCAGGTGGGTTTTTCTTTCATTCCCTGCCCTCAGCAGTGGAATTGTCCCTGGGCTGGGGCCGTCCCAGGGGGGCTTTGGCTGGATGGGCAGGTCACCTGGGAGCTTCAATGTCACCTCGAGGTGGCTTAGCTTTAGTAGTGTTTGTTTTCCTTTTCCTCCAGGGTGGCTTGACAGGAGAGGGTTAATGGTGAGGCCAGCGTGTATGGGCACAGCAAGAGTGTGTGGGCAAAAATTCCACCACGAGTTTAAATCCCAAACGTGAGCTCCACACTGAGGTCTCAGCAGCTTTGCTCCCTGGGGTCAGGAGGTGCCCACAGAGCAGAGCCACCCCTGTGAGGGACCAGCCCTCAGGGTCTGTGGTGGGAAGTGGTGTCACAACACCATGGTAAGTCCTCCAACAACACCAAAGGACTGCCTGACACCTGAGGAAATAACAGCCTGTGTGTGGAGACCAAGAGAGAGAGAGGTAACGATGGAGGAGCAGAGGGAGCTGAGGTCCACTCTGGTTGTTCAGTCCTGATACAACTCAACCACAGTTACCCATCCTTGTGCAACAATTGCCTGAAGGAAACAGGCCCATAAAAGGAGGAGCTATGGGGTGGGCTGGGGGAGCTTCACTGACACCAACCCTCCTCCCTTGGCCAGAGCCAGGACTGGTGATTTGCTGTTGTCTCTCTCTTTAGCTTTTCTTCTCTCTCTCTTTTCCTTCCTAAAATCATGAAGTAACTCCAGCCCTACTGTGACTTCTCCCAGCTTGGGCAGCTTGAACATAAATGTATTGTGGCTTTTGTAACCAAAGTATCAGCTTTATCATAGAATCATAGGATCATAGGATCATAGGACCATAGAATCATAGAATCACCCTGGCTGGAAGGGACCTCGAAGATCACGGAGCCAGAGCATATATATAATAACCAAAGTATCAGTGTTCCTTCTATGGTTGTAGTTAAAGCTGATGTTAAAAAACAGGCCTTGAGAGTCATTTCACCTTCATCCAATGAAGGGGCATCAGATGATTGAGCAGCTCCTCAGACCACAACATTTTAATCACTCTCCTTGGGAGGGCTGGGTCTGAAGCTAAGGTTGCATCCAGCCACACCAAGGCTCCTCTTTGAGGAGGAGTTTAGAGAACAAGGGGGTCCACTCTGAACCTCCCTGGGTGGACTGATCCAGGCTGTGACACCCCTCTTCCCCAGGGAGCTGCTGACACAGCTCACCAGCTCCATGCTGTTCTTCTTCTAGGGCACGTTGTGGTTCCTGGAGAGGTGCAGGAAGACCCAGACACCGTGAGCCTCCATACCCACGGGGAGCCATCTCCAGGCACTCACCACCATGTCCAAGGACGACGTGGGCTGCAAGCTGACCTCAGTCTACAAGCACAAGGAGAGGAAGCCAAAGAAGCCCCACTACATCCCCAGGCCGTGGGGCAAGCCGTACAACTACAAATGTTTCCAGTGTCCCTTCACCTGCATGGAGAAGTCCCACCTCTACAACCACATGAAGTACAGCCTGTGCAAGAACTCCCTCTCCCTCCTCATCGAGTCTGACTGGCCCTACAAGAAGGGCAACCTGCTCCACCCGGAGCTGCGGCTCCTGCAGGCGACCGAGACCTCCCGCCTGCACGGGCGGCGGGACGAGCAGGAGACCTGTGACCCCTCGGCCACCTCAGGAGGGGCAGTCAGGACCAAGCAGGGCTCTGGCAGGGATGGCCACGAGGACAAGTCAATGTCAGGGGTGGAGATCCTGCCTGCTGAAGGGGCTGGTGAAGAAGGTGGCCCGTTTCAAGAGGAGGAGGAGGAGGTCGCTGGGCTGTTGAGGGAGATGGACGCAGGGGAAAAGAAGGAGAAGAGCGAAGAGGCAGGTTGCCAAGGAGACCCAGCTGAACCAGAAGTGAACACTTTGGTCTTCGGTTTCAAGAACAAGAGGGACAAGCCTTGCAAGGAGGTGGAGCCTGACTTCATCATCACAGATGTCTTCTCCCTCAAGAACCATGTCATGAAGAGCAGGGAAATGGCGTCTCCAGACCTGGATGCTAAGCCAAAGCATTGCAAAGTGCCAAAGAAATGCCTGGCCAGCAGCGGGATCCTCATGGAGCAGTGGAAGCTGGTGGCAAATGGGCAAAGGAGAAACACACCTGAGTTCTCCCCACCTTGTACTGACAGCAACATCATCCCCTGTTACCCCCCTCCAGCCTACGGTGACTACCATGAACCTCAGGGCCTCAACCTCTCACTGCTGGGTATTAACTACCCATTAAACCCCAGTCTCTTCTCCTACCTGAGCCCCACCATGGCCAACAGTGCTACCACGCACCCACACTTGGCTCAGCTGCCCTTCCTGGCCTCCACAGCCCAGCTGATGCACCCCCATGCCTCCCACTTCCAGCCTCTGCAGAGCCCTGAGCGCCCAACCTTCCTGCCCCGCTTCTACTACCCCCTGCTCTTCGAGCACACCTTCAGCTCCACGGAGAGCAAGATGTCACCCAGCAAGCCAGAAGCCCAGCAGCTGGTGGGCTCTGTCCTGCCCACACCACCCCAAGCCAAACCTCCCAGTGAGCCAACCAAACCAGGACTCCTGAAGGTACCAGTTCTGAAGACGGGTTTTCCTTGGTCCAAAGGTGCCAGAGAGGAGCCAGCTTCAGACCTTGGCCACCCTGCCATGATGGGGCAGGAAGAAGAGGAGAAATGGCTGTCCCAGGAGAAGGAGAGCAACCCAGCTTTGGGCCTCAAAAACCTACGCAAAAAGTCAACCACCGACATCTACCAAAACATGGTGGGGATGAAAGATGGTACCTTTGCCTCCAGCAGTGTCCAGAAGACAGATTTACCAGTGGTGACCTGTCTGGAGACCAGCAGCCCTCCAGGCAGCTCCTTGAAGAGGAAGTTCCCTGCCAACGGGCTGGATTTGGTAGGACCTGAAAGGTTGATGCCTGGAAAACTCAGCTACCAGAGCAGGTAAGGTGCCCATGATCTCTTTGCCTCTTCCCCACATTTAGTTGCTCCTAAACATCATCTTCACACCCTGTTGTGTTACTGATCCCTCCACTTGCCTCTAAACCATGAGATGAGTCTCCAAAAGGCTGAGCAGATTCCAGGCTGGTGGCCCATACCCACTCAGAGCAGAACCTGAGCAGCTTTCAGGTGCCCCCAAGCACTTGGGCTATCCCCACTCCTTGTCCTTCACTTTCCCCTGTTCTCTACAGAGCCAGAAGGGGTGTGTGGATGGTGAGGACCTGCACTCCTCCAGCACCAGGGAATCTCTTGGATCCCCAGACATCCTGGGGTTGCTGGAACTATCACTGCCTATTTTTAAACACATATATTTGCATTCCTTTGATTTGCCTTCTGGTTTCCAAGCCCGGAGGGAGGGCCAGGTTTCCAGACATTTCCTTCTACCCGGGGCTAGAATGTGCTCAGCTCCTTTTATCACCCTCACAGCTCCTCCCCTGGTTGTGCAAGTCCAGCTGTGGCTCCAAGAAAAATGTCACTGTAAAACCTGCCTTTGGTACCTGGAGGAGCTTCCTCTGGAGCAGCTCTCCATGGGTTTCTATCTCCACCTGCTTCTTCCCTGCTCTCAGGCTAGTTGGAGAGATCACCCCAGCTGGGCCTTCAGGATGGTGGGATGGTTATTTCCATCAGTGTTCTTCAGTAGTGCAAGAAGGAGAATCCAGGGCTGGCCAGCTGAGGTGGGATCACTTACCAGCACCATCTCCCCAGACTGGTCTCTACTCCTGTTGGTGGGTGTCACAAAATAGCTTGTGTCAGGGTCCACCCACCTTCTAGAGGAGCAATGCAGGTCCAGCCAGGGCTCTGGGTGCTCAGACCAAAGCCTTTCCTGGAAGGGTCTCATGCTGGCAGCAGAGAGTGGAGGAAGCCTGTTTGAATCTGACAGTGCTGGCCCTGGACATATTCCCAAGAATTTTCCCATCTCTGTCCCTGCGGACTTCACTGCTTCCCCTTCTTCTCTGCAGTGCTTCAAGGACCAACCCCAGCCATAGCCCCAAGGCCCTGGACCACTGGCACATGGAGGTTCTCACAGGCCAACCTGAGGGACTGGAGAGGGGCAATGACACTGAAGTTCTTCCCTCTGTGGGTGCTGGCCTGGACCAGCTCTGCAGGCAGAGCAGACCCCAAGAGACTTCTGCCACCATGACAGACTCTGAGGCCACAACCATGCTCATTGGGGACCTGTCCAAAACCTTAGAGGAGTACCAAGAAGTGGAGAAGAAACTGTCTGATCTTGCAAAGGAGGACACCCCTGGGCAAAAAGAGCTGAGGGACCAGCTGGTCAAAATCCGCAGGGAGCTCTTCCACATCCACCAGGCACTGGAGAAAGCCACCAAGCCCCACGAGGGGCCGCTGGACCTCTCGGTGAAGAGATCTGAAGGTCTGGAGAAGGTCCAGCCGGCCAAGAAGGAGCCCAGCAACGCGAGCCTGGGAAGCGAGAAGCTCCAGGGCAAAGACCCCCCCAAACGCGCGGCCGGCGAGGGGGCTGGAGCCGGGGAGGGGCTGCCCGGCTGCTTCCTGGGGGCTCAGGACAAAACCATCGACCTGCTGCTGGAGATGAGCCGCTC